GTGAGTGAGTGAGTGAGTGAGTGAGTGAGTGAGTGAGTGAGTGAGTGATAGGGTTTTATTGTACAGCCCTTACTGGCCTCAGACTTGATGCTCTTGCCTCAGCCGTCCAGTGCTGAGATTACAGGCTTCTGTAGCCAGCCACACCTGGCAAGAGAAGCTCATCTTGGAACTTGTGACCCTTCACCCCTCAGGAGAGTGACTGAGGTGGACCAGGGAGCACTTCCAGCTGCACACACACCATCCTGAGCCCCTGAGCCCTCAGAGTGCCACTCCCTACCCCCACCCCCGGGCACGCAGAGGCCCTGACCCCCAGACCAGGTCCTCTACGTGTGCCATTGTCCCGGCCTCCTCGCTGTAGCCCCTGGGCATCGCTTGCTCCATGCTCTCCTGGACTCCAAAGGGCCGGAGGCCTGAGGCTCCTGTGGAGGCCTCTGCCTCGTGCATGGTGCTCATTATCTTGGCCAAATAATTTTCTGTCCTTGAACATCTACATCCAGGAATTTTAACTAACGCAGTGTGGAGTTATCAGTTTACCTGAACTCCCACACAACCTGCCTTCCCGTCACTTGTGCTGTCTGCTTGACGTAAAGCCAGGAGCGTTCAGAGCCGAGGAGGCTGCGGCCTACCATATGCGCAGCAGGCCTTTGCGTCACCAACAACAGTCCTGATAGGCGTGTGCAGGTGGGTGTTGCGCCTCCCCCCGAGGAGGAGACTGCAAAGACGAGAGAAGGTTTTCAGTCCTAAGTGCTGTTTGTTTACTTTATCAAGATCATACCTACCCCTGTCAAATTCAAACTATAGTACTGTGTAATTATGTATAAAGTTTTTTTATTTATTTGAAATTAGATTAGATATACATTTTTAAATTTAACATCTGGCTGGACAGTGTTCTATTAACTCATTGAATGTGTTTCCTTTGTCTTGTGTTAATAAATATTGATGCTTGATTGTGTTTAATCCTTCACACACTGGGTGGGGCTGGGTGTGTGTGTGTTTGTGATGTGTGGTGCGGTGTGTGTGCAGTGTGTGGCACTGGGATTGAACCCCGGGCCTCCTTCAAGCTAAGCGTTGGCTCTAGCCCTGAGCCACACCCGCTGTGGGGTGATGGAGAGTGTAGATGTTCAGATGAGTGGGCAGTGGGCTGAGGAGAGGACTCAGAGCTGCTGCAGCTGAAGGAGGCCTGGTCAGGGGTCACCAGTGCTGCTCTGCAAACCAACAAAGCCACTGTCAGAAATGCTCTCTTTTTAACCTTGGGGTCTTTTTTCAAAAGTTACTGTTTTCTTAAAGAAAGATTCATTTACTGCTTCTATCTTCGTGTGTATACGATTCCCTGGATGTATGCGTGTGCTTTGAACGCCTGCTTGAGAAGGCCAGAGACAGCACATCCCACGGGCCTGGAGTTAAAGATGATTGTGAGCCACCGTGTGGGTGTCAAGAGCCAAGCCAGTGCCCTTAGTTGCTTTTTTTTTGTTTTGTTTTTTTAATTTTATTTATTATGTATACAGTGTTTTGCCTACATGTAACACCTTCATGTCAGAGAGGGCACCAAATAGTATAGATGGTTGTGAGCCACCATGTGGTTGCTGGGAATTGAACTCAGGACCTTTGGAAGACCTCTGAGCCATCTCTCCAGCCCTCTTAGTTGCTTTTAATTTTCAGGGTTACTGCATTGTGCTCATTCTGTCGGGTGTGTGGGGAGATTGCCTGTGTGAATGTCAAAGGACAACTTGCAGGAGGAGTTCTTTTTGCACCGTGAGGGTCCTTCGGCATGGCTACAAACACACCTACTCCCTAACCACTGAGCCCAGCTGCCGGGATTGCTGCGCCCAGCTGTTCCCCGGGGACTGTGTGGCACAGGTGCTTCTAAGGCCTGGTTTCCGACAGGGTATGTTCCCAGCAGCCTTCCCTGGGGTGAGGTCTCATTTGCTCCAGCCTTTCCTGGTTCCAGGAGACCTGAAGGGAGCCAGCTTGTCTCGGCAGTGTGGACTGAGCTTTTTAGGACCCCCTCCCCATCTTAACACTTAGCGAGTGTTACCCACCAGGCACAGACACCGTCAAGAGCTGACATACGAAGTCCGTGGCCTTGGGGAGCTGCAGGGGGGAACAGGGACAGCGCTGCAGGATGGCGGCTGAACTGAGGTCGGATGTCTGCTTTCTGAACCATGGTCTCTAGCCCAGGCTGGCCTCCAAACCCATCGTGATCCTCCTGCCTCAGCCTTCCGACTTCTGGGATTAGAGATGAGAGTTACTGTGCCTGGCCTGAACTTACTAGTTTTGAAAAGTGACACAGGGCACGTAAAAACTAGGAAAAGCAGATGTGGTTATGTACAGTTTCATGCCAGCACTCTGGAAGTAGAAGCAGGAGAATGAGCAGTTCAGGTTTGCCCTCAGCTACATAGAGAGTTCAAAGCCAGCCTGGGCTACAGGAGACCCTGTCTCAACAAGTTGTATATTTTGAGAACCAATTTATTAGAATTGTTATGGTGTGAATATGTGGACCTTTAGGACTTATGTTCTGGCTGGGTGATGCCAGCCAGCTGCTGACCATTTCAGAATTGTCACCTGAACACAAGGAGTGGCCAGGAGCATGGACTCACACAAGGCTGACTTCAATGCTGTTTCCGAAACTTCAACTAAACGTTGAAGGTTCCAACATTGACTTCCTGAGGGTGTGTTCCTCCAGAACTTCTGTCAGCCACTGGGAAGCCAAGTGACAGTGGCCCAGGGCTACTGATGTGTTCTCAGGGAAGCAGCTTAGCTGTCCTCAGAGCTGATGCAGGCAGGTATATGGGTAGGCTGCTCTGACCAACATCTACAGGATCCCCCTGGGAAGCCGAAAGTCAGTAACTAACAGCTCTCTCCAGAAGGTAGAGGAGCTGGAAAGGAGGTATGAAGACCACTGTGAGAGGGGACAAAGGCTCAGAATGTGGAGAAGAGGAGGGGGCCACAGGCAGAAATTACTCCCTGTATCCCAGCAAGCAAAGTAACCCGCTTTAGTAGAAAGGAGCTACCCCAGCTGGACTAGGTATCACATGGCTTTTATCCACTGTCACCGAGACCAGGAGTTCAAGGCTAGCCTGGGAAACGTGATGAAACCCTAGTAACAGGCCCCGAGTGGTAGTGGTGGCAGTGGGGACCTGTTTATTACTAGGATGGTTGAGGGTGGTGTTTAAGGTGTCAGGCCGTGGCAAGTGTGTTTAAAGCAGGTTCTGAGGCGGGTGCCTAGAAAGCCAGTGGAACATTCCCTCCTTATGTCCATTCACTTTAGGTAAGACTTAGTTTTCCAGTTGTTTTATTGTTTCTAGTGTGGGGAGGGGCGTGTGCATGTGAGTGCAGGCAGGCACCATGGAGCCAAAAGTGTCAGGCTCCGCTGGCGCTGGACTCACAGGTGGTTGTGAGCCGCCTTACGTGGGTGCGGGGAGAACTGCATGGAGAAATGAACCGGACCTAAGATACCACTAAAAGCAAGTATAATGGGCGAATCTGAATGTTAGGAAACTATGTGGGCTTGGAGGTCTGGGATGGAGTAACTATTGCCCAGCATTGTGCTCTAGGTTAATTAAATAAATTCCAGTCTCTGTATGATGATTTGAATATACAGCTGGTTTAGGAATAACCGCTGCTTAACTAAAAGATACACCAATAGTAAATATTAACCAAATACAACAGTAGGGGATTTTATTGTCTTATTTCTGGAATTGATGACCTATGGCCTAATTCCTGGGACTGATTATTGGGGGCAGGGGTGGGGTGTCAGGCCTGGTCCTCTCACTGTGGCCTTCCGAGCAACTGCTTTTGGCACACCTTGTTTCCCTACCCATGGAGTAAAAGCTATGAAGTTTATAAAACACTCAGAGGGGCAGGGTAGGTAAAGTCACTTGCTGCCGAGCCTGACCACCTGAGTATGGTCCCCAGGACATGGTAGGAGAGAACTAGCTTCCTGAAAGTTGTTTTCTTAGCTCCACGTGTGTGTCAGGGATACACACACATTAGTAAGTGCCAAGTTCAAGATTTAAAACTTCCTCAGATGCTCAGAATCAAGGCTGCTTTTCCTTTGTGTGGATACTGGCATTCAACAGTGTGGCCAGTTCAGTTTATTTCATGAGAACAGTAATGGCACGGCGGCATGCACAGGCCAAGGCTTCCCACTGAAGACACTGCAGAGATGGAAGGTGCTCTCTTGTTTTCTGGACTGCATGCTATTGGCGGGGGCATGCCTCCTCAGGGTGCCTGAAGTCAGACAGCAGCTGTGTGCACTTGGTCCTCCTCACACCTTCAAGCAGGTTCCTGAGGTCCAAGTCAGGTCATCAGGCTGGTGCAGCTGATGAGCCATCTCCTCAGCCCTCTGCACACTTTTTAAAGGTTTCATTTTCACTGTATTTTTAGAAATTCCTTTTTAATGAACACATAAGGTAACATGTTTCCCTGTGACATATGTTACATTTAAAAATGCCACACACTTAACAGATCTGGTAAGAAGAGATTTATTGTACAGAGGTGGAGAGACGGTGGGAGAGCACCCCAAGAGAGAAAGTCAGAGCAGGGAGGGGAGAGAAACTGAGGCAGAGTGGAAGGAGCAGTGTGGAGCACCTGGCCCAGGTGAGGACATAGGATCCTCAAGGCCCCAAAGGGTAGGCAGTTGAGTTGCCTGCGCAACGTAGCAGTATTTGACATAGTTTTGTCATGTAGCAGGTGGATGTCCTGACGTCCTCCTTAACCTCCCAAGTGCTGGGATGACAGGTGGGGGACACCATCCAGGGATTCTTTTTCTTCAAGACAGGGTTTCTCTGTGTAGCCTTGGCTGTCCTGGACTCGCTCTGTAGACCAGGCTGGTGTCAAACTCACAGAGATCCGCCTGCTCAGCCTCCGGAGTGCTGGGATCAAAGGCTTTTGTCACCACACCCAGCTCACCTAGGGATTCTTCTGGATAGTTTTGTTTGTTTGATCATCTTTTTTATTTTTAAATGACAAGCAGGGCTGGGGA